CAATATCTGAATAATTGATAGAGAATTTCTGAACATAACTTCATCAAGAAACTCTATAATTGCAGGAGATTTCAATGCACATCATCCCTGATGAAATTCAGAATGCAAGAGAGCAGTGAGAGCTGATAATCTGATTGAATGAACCTTTGAGCATTCAATAGATTTGGTTAATAAGTCTGATCAACAAACATTCTTTAGAAAAGACATGAAACAGAAGTCTATTATAGATCTAACATTCATGTTACAAAATCTAATGAAAAGAAGACTTGTAAACTGGTTTATTAATTCAAATGAGACATCAGGATCAGGTCATGAGATTATTCAATTTGATATTGAACTGAGTGAAAAACAAATGAGTGAAAATCCTCTTCTCTCTAATCAGTATAACTTTGAAAAAGCTGATTGAAAAGCAGTTGAAGAGAGCATAAAACTGTTAAAATCTGAAAGACAGAAGGAGCTATATTGGAATTCTGATCAAGATATCTCAAATGAAATGCTTGAGAATAGAGTGAAGCTTATTACATCTATTATTCTAACAAGTGTTAGAGATAATATTTCAAAAAGAAAATCTTCTGAGTATTCAAAACCTTGATGAAATGAGAATATCTCATCTAAAAGAAAAGAATTAGCTACTGCTAGAAGAGATTGAAAGAATGATGTAATATCTGAAGAAGAGTTCAAAGCTGTCAGAAATGAATATTTTTCAGATATTAAAAGAGCTAAAACAGACTGCTGGAATAAATTTCTTGAAGAAGCACAAGGAAAGGAAGTTTTTAAAGCTTTTAACTATACTAAAACAAGAAGTGTAGCAAAACTTCCAGCTCTAGAGTATGAGTTTCAGAATGAATCATATACAGCAAACTCTTTTGAGAAAAAGTGTCAAGCTTTCATGAGAATTCTCTTTCAGAACTCACCAGATTCAGATTCAGATTCAGAGGAAGAGAATATATCACTTCTCAACTACATTAATGAAAATGACTGGGAATGGCCTGATCTTACACAAGATGAATTAGAGTCAGCTATCTTCTCAAGTTCTGTTAAAACTGCTGCAGATCCTGATTCAATTAATCACTTGATTATTCAAAATACATATTCCTACTTAAAGAATGAATATTTTGAGCTCTTTTTTAATCTCTTGAAAAATGAATATCATTCTGAATACTGGAGAGAAGCCACTGGAGTGATTCTTGCAAAACCTAATAGAAAAACTTCAATTTCTAAGTCATATAGAGTAATATCTCTATTGAACTGTCTAGGAAAGGTTTTAGAAAAGATAATAGCTACTTGACTATCTTTTATAAGCTCTATAGATGATTCTCTTTTATTCAGTGAATAAATGAGAGATAGAAAACAGTGTTCTGCAATTGACACTGTTCTCTCAGTTGTTCATGATATTCAAATAGCAAAGCATGAGGGTCTGGTCTCAACTGCAGTTTTTATTGATATAAAGGAAGTATTTGATCATGTTTCAAAGTCAAAGTTAATTCAGACATTGAAGATATTAAAACTGTCACTTTCTCTAATAAAATGAGTTAACTGTTTTATGTCTAAAAGAATTATACAACTCTTCTTTGATGGAATGAAATAAGACAAGACTGAGATAAAAATAGAAGTATCACAGAAGTCTTCAATCTCACTCATTTTATTTGCAATATACACTGCATATCTATTCAAAAATAGAAATATGAGAATAGTGTGATCTCTGAGTTATGTGAATGATATTGATCTAGTCTACAGCTCAAAAACTATCAAAGAGAATTTGAAAGTAATTGAAGAAGCTGCAAAGAAAATCTTTGTTAGAGCAGATATTAATCAAATTCAATTTGATATGAATAAAACTGAGTTAATTCACTTCTTTCCCAGATTCAATGAGAAAGAACTATCTCTAACTCTTTTAAATAAAGAGATTAAATCCAGTGTAAATGTCAAATGATTAGAAGTATGGTTAAACTCCAAGTTGAATTTTAAATATTACATTCAACAAAGAACTGTCAAGGCAGAAAGACTATTGAATAACATAATCAGACTATTAAATACAGAGAGAGGTCTATTCTTCCAGGCTATGAGACAGTTATATATAGCCTGTATTACATCAGTAGCTGATTATGAAGTTCAAGTTTGATGGAATAATCAAGAGAATTTCACTGAACTCTTTCAAAGTTTGTAAAACAGAGCCTTGAGAAGAATTCTGAGAGCATTCAAATCATCTTCTATTAAAGCAATGAAAATTGAAGCTTCAATTCCTCCTCCTGCTATTAGATTTGAAAAGGCCTGTATGAACTATGCTCTGAGAGTTGTGAAGATGAGCTTGAATCATATAATCAGAGAAAGAGTCTCTTCTTCATTTCCATCAATTAACTCTGAAAATGAACTGGATTGGAATAGATTTCTTGATTGAAATGAAAATAATTCTTCAAAGAAAATGCCTTCTCAACTGTACAGACTATGCTCTCTGATTAAAAATCAATTTTCTTCTTTAAATGTTGAAAAGATTGATCATGAGAAGTTATCTCTCTGGAGAAAAAAGCTTGAATCTCTTATAGACTTACAAATAAGTGAACTATCAAAAGAGAAAGAATATGAACAGCATTTGAAGAGAATTTCTACAATCAATGTAAAAGACTCTATTCTGATTTATTCAGATGACTCAAAAAATGAGAACTTGAATAGATTAGGCGCAGGCATTGCTTTTACTGAAGATAATATTAATTTTATCTCAGATTTCTGAAATCTAGGCTCTGAATGTGAAGTCTTTGATGCTGAACTATTTGTGATAGTGAAAGCTTTCAAACTCATTGAAATAAAATCTCATAAAAGAGGAAATTGTTTGAAAGAGATATGAATATTCTCTGATAGTCAAGCTGCTTTAAAAAGACTTAGAAATAGTCAGATTCATAATGATCAAATGAATCTTGAACTGATCTTAAACTCTGTTTTAAAAATTTAAAAGAGAAGAATATCAAAGCTAAGAATTCATCTACACTGGGTTCCTGCTCATATGAATATTTATGGCAATGAATTGGCTGATTCAGCTGCAAAAAAGAGTGCAGAATTAAGCAGATCTATTCAAAAAATTATGTTCTGGTCTTTTATAAGAAGAAAAATAAAAGAATCTTGTTTAAACAAGTGAAATAAAAGCTGGCAGAAACAAAAGAAGAGTATACATTACTCAAGATTTGAAACAAAACCCAAGTGGAAATCTTGTTCAATTAAATGTAAAAAGAAAATATTCTCATCTATAATACAGCTGAAACTAGGACATGGCTATTTTAAATCTTATATACAAAGATTTGATGATAGATTTGACTTAATAGAATGCTCATTCTGCAATACAAATGAGAATCCTGAGTATATTATAATACACTGTGCATTATACAATAGTCTCAGAGCCAGATTGAAAGAGAAGTATGATCTAAATCAATTAAATATGAGATTCTTATTCTCAACTGAGACAGGAATTAAATACTTAATAGACTTTCTATCAGAAACTCAAGCAGCTATAAGAAAATGACTAAATTCAGAATTATCTGAATATGAAGAGGAGGAAATTAATCAGATATAGTCTGTTAAAACAGCTATACACTCTCTTTTAATAATTTATTTTGTTATAGTCTCTCTTTACTTTATCTTTTTCTGTATCTTTTTCTTTCAATTTCTTTCTATCTATCTATTTAATGTGTCTATCTTTGAGACTGTGTTCTTTCTCTCTTTTCTTTTGTCATGATATTGTCAAATGGTTTCAAAGTATCAAAAGATGTTAAAACATCACAATTTGTAAACAGTTTTTGTATTCTGGGCTGGAATTTTCTGATTTTACATATCTGAAATTGATGAATGTACAATAGTTAACTTTACAGATATAGAAAAAACCCTCAGAACTAAAGTTCTCAGATAGATGTCATAGTCTCTGACTGCATATATCTATAATTGAAGAATAATAATAATAATAACTATCTAATATTAAAACTGTGTAATGAAATCAGTTGAATTGATAATGAAACTATTAAAAAATCTGATTCTGATCTCAGATATAATTACATAATCAGTCTAGTTCTGCAGTCAAAAGAATTTCCTCTCTTTATATTAAGTAGTTAATAAATTCAGTGAGAACTATTAATCTTTTAATAAGTCTTACTTAGCTTCTGAATTCTTCAAGAACTTTTATTATAATAGATATCTTTTCTTTTTATTAAAGATATTCTGTCAGATCTGCTCTTATTTTATTATCTATAGAGTCACTTCTACTGATCTTCATTCACTCAATCTTATACTGAAGTCTTGTAATTTTAAGTCTTATATAAGTCTTCTCACTTACTGAGCTATTGTCATTTCAGTTACTTAAGTTCTCTACATTATCTGACATCTCACTGATACCTTCAATCAGATCTTTATATATATTAAACTTATCAGACTATTCTTCTATAATAATTTCATTCAGCTTAAATATCTCTGAGACAGTCACTTTTTAATTTATTATAGATATTGATAAACTCACACTTAATTCTTCTTATACTTCAGATATTTATGAATTTCTTCTTCTACATGTTAATATGTAATTCTTTATTAAGTCAGACTTTCTATCTGATCTCAGGTTTATCATAAGTTTAATTAATTAATAAAAGACATCTAGGCATGTGTAATGATACATGGAGATGTAGTTGGCATGTTATTTCAGCAGTTTTCATTGCTTGTGAAGGGCTTCATAACCTCTTGAAGAATAACATTGTTGTGTTGTGTTGTAATCTAACTACATGAGTTACACTAAATGAATAGGTTGGGGTGGCATGTGACTAGGGTAGATGTAGTAATCACCAACACATGATTCTGATAGGACTCACCCCAAGAAATGTATGAAATTCATGGTCCCGCCGGCCAGTCTAGTCAAAATCCCCCTAAACTCAATTCAGAGGCAGGAGCAAATCGCGAGCCAAGAAGTTCTACTAACTAGGCAAGAATTTTACTATGACGGACAACAACCAATAAGAGCGGGATTCATGGGGGGATCCTGGAGTCGATCATGCCCTTCCCTCCCCGTTGAATGAATCTTCTGAACATTATTAAAAAGGCGCTGTCCGATGCCTTTCCTTCCCTCCAACCACAGCAGAACCCCGAGCGGCGACTTAATGTAGACGGGGAGAGATCCAAAAGATAAGCTACTAGAAGTTTCTGCCGGATAGTATAACTATAGGCGATAGGGAAATGAAGAAAGAAAGGAAGGCGGAAAGAAAGAAGAAAGGCAAGGGATATAAATAAATGAACAAATAAACAACATGGGGAAAGCAAAAGCGAGAAGGAGTGAGTGTATGTAGTAGTAGTAGCAATCTATTTATATACCCACCGCGACAACGACACGCCAGAAGTCGTGGATATTTTTTATTTGTTCCTTTTCCCCCCACAAAGCACGGATTGTTGATGATTGTCTTTTTCTTCTTCTTCTTCTTCTTCTTCTTCTTCTTCCTCTTTGGCTTCCTATTTTAACTTCTTTCTCCCCCCCCATCTGTCCATTCTGTGTACGTTATATTATTATTGTGAATAATTGTATAAATAAACGTCCAAATAACAATCCCCCTTAGTTACCGTTGGTCATCATCATCATCCCCACCAAAAGAGCCCACCAGCAACCTATGAACGATTAACTTTCCCTCACAAGCCATCCCCAATAAAAATAACCTCTCCATCATCACTTTACAAACCCTATATACCACCTACTTTATTCTCCTCTCCCTCGCTTCAACCAAAAATCTTGCCAAGCCCCCCGTGACGAGGAGTTCTGCGGCCGCGGGTTGATCTGGGACCGGGAGAATCGATAATCCGACCCGGCCGCCCAGCCATTGCGCACTGTGTGCCGCCCGCCTATCACCACTACCTCCACGCCCTCTGCCACGCTCATCGCACCTCCTTAACCACCGTCTGGCCTTCCTCCCACCGCTTATCTCCACTGCCTCCACCACGCCAAACCGCCCTTCTCCTCCTCCACCAACCTTCGACACACCCAACCTCGCTCCCTCTCCATCACCACCGCCATCGCCATCGCCATCGCCATCGCCATCGCCATCGCCATCGCCATCGCCAGTCTCCCTCCCCCTCAGCTACCTACCCGCCCGCTGCTGGAGCTGGAAATAGAAAATACCATCGCGGATGTGACTCGCAGTACGCGGGGTCCGCTGCTTCTCTGGTCGTCCGTCCGTCTGTCTGTCTGACTGACTGCTACTGTTCTAGCAAGTAGGGCTTCTTTTTGACTTCTGACTTCTTTTCGCCTTCCCTCCCTCTCCGCCCACAGCGCCAGGAAGATCTCCCTCTTCCCGCTTTCCCTCGCCTCTGCCAGCCATATCCACGTCTTCTCCACCCCCCACAAACTTTCTCCTGCCGTCTACTCTTCTTCTCACCTCCTCCTCTCCTCCTCCGCCTGCTTCATCTCCTCACACCACGCTCCTCTTTCTTTGTCCAGGCTTTTCGCCCCGGGAGGCTCAAACTAGACCTTAGACTACGCTCCCGACATACACACCACTCTTATTCCCTTGCTCCCTCCCTCTATCCTCCCAGGTACACCCTTCACTCACTCTCCACTCCATATCGCACTACACCACACTACACCAATCCGCACATTATCCTCTTTTTCCCACATTATTCTATGCCGTTTATCCAACTAACTCGCGCTTGCTCTCGTTTTAAAGGGTTCTCCTCCTTATCTCCAGCCCTGCCTGCCGTAAAGCGCACGCAGACCAACCGCAACCGCGCCGCTGCCCTTCACTGTCTTCCAACCTCACCAACCCTCTCGCGCAAAAGTCGGTCGTGCACTGTAATAATATCCCGTCTTAGCTATTCCGTTGACTATACCAGGACTCAAAAGTCATCGCATTTTGCCATACCCGTTGCTTCTCTTTCGCTTTCTTTTCCTTTCCCCCCCTGGACTCCCCACCCAACCAACGCTTTGGAATTGATGCTCCAAATCTGAAAAGGAACGCCTCTCTGAAATCGCGTCGTCGCATCCAACCCCATTCGTTCGTGGTGATCATCGTGCAATTCACCTCTACAGTCTAGTTTAACAGTTCTGAAATATTTTCGTACAAAATTCTTCGCTGTCGTCTCCGAAAGCGTCTTTGTTCGCTCAGTCGATCCTTCTCTATCCTCCACATTACGACACACCGACTGGTGCTGCTACTACTATTACTCTCTCCGATCGCCCTACTTATTTTCCTCAAATCCCGTGCCTTTTTCATCGTCTCTTCTCCTATTACTCACAGTCCCTGTTTTGGGGAGCGCTACCAAACAAAGACGTCGATTGGGAGAGGTTTTACCTCACGCTCTGGACAAGAGTGCCAAGTTGGCTGGCCTAACTCGCTCCAACTATGAATCAGATGAACGTCGCTGGGATGAACCCGGGAGCAGGCGGTCCCGTCGGTGGCATCCCCATGATGAACAACGGCTCGTCAGCCCCGCGCAGTGATCCCAACGGCCAGAGTCTTCAGGGAGACAATATTGTGCAATTAAACACCTATATCTACGACTATTTCCTCAAACGCGGTTATCATGATTGTGCAAGAGCCCTAATACAAGATGAATCGTTTACCATGAGCACTTCTCCCGCCTCCAAGTTGACTCCATCACACCGCCGCGATGGAGAAATGAATGGCGTTGACGGTGATGCAATGGCCACGGAGTCCAAGGACGATGTGAATAAACAAAGAATACCTGACGACCTTCCACGACCAAATATACCTCCAGGCCCTGGTGGAGACTTACAACAAACCCCTTTTCTCCTCGACTGGTTTAACCTTTTCTGGGATATTTTTTTGGCCCAACGGAAACGAAGTAAAAACCCGGACGCGATGCATTATGTCCAACAGACCCAGGTATGTCTTTACATATATATATTTACTTTTCTTTGATAATACTAATTGAAATAATGCGCTGCTTTTCAGCAATTGCTGCGCATGCAAAACCAGCAAATGTTGCGCCAGTCGCAAATGATGCCTGCGCAATATAACATGCGCACAGCCCGTACTGGCATGATTCCTGCCAATATTCAAAAGACCATGATGCAGAACCCAAATATGTACGTTGATAATATTTTTTATACGGGTAATGTCAAAAATTTCTCTCCTCTCGTGAGACTAACTGTCGGACAGGACGCCCCAACACATGGCGCAGCTGCAGAAAAATCAACAAATGCTGCATCATCAGATGCAACGTGAACCTTCTGAGATGGAAATGAACGGCCATAGACCTCAATCGCCGTCGTCTGCCGAAAACGCTCCATCACCTTCGAAGCGTCCTCGTTTAGACGGCTCGCAGGTAAATGGAATGCAGATGGCACCAAATGGGCGTGGGCAGGGCCAAATGCCTGGCCGTCCAGCCCACCAGGCCAACGCGATGTTGATGCAGCACGGGATCAACCCGAACAACTTGACTCCTGCACAGTTCAGTTCGTTCCAGGCGCAAAATCCTTCTGTACAAGCAAAATCTCTCCAGGTATATAATCAAAGCATGGCTCTACATAACAATCGCTCAGCAATGAACAACCAGGGTATGCCGAATGGCTTAATGAATCCCGGAGTCATGCCAAACCAAGGTGACACCATGCCCATGCATGATGGTCAGCTCTTGCCAATGCAAGAATATTATGGCGCAAACGGCCAAATGGCGCAAGTTCCGCGACCACAAATGCAAACGCCTGGCTCCGGGAATCATGCCCTCCAAGATTATCAAATGCAGCTGATGCTTCTGGAGCAGCAGAATAAACGTCGCCTGCTCATGGCTCGTCAGGAGCAAGACAGCATTACCCGAGGCGATGGTCAACCAGGCATGCCTGGGCAGCCTAACCTACCTCCCGGCACATCCCCGCAGGGCAGTCGGGCCGGCGCATCCCCGAACCCGAATGATCAGATGAAGAGAGGCACCCCGAAGATGCCTCAGTCTGGTCTACCTGGCTCTCCTTCTGTTGGTGATGCGATGGCCCAGGGTCGCAGCTCTCCTGCGTCAATGAACTTTGGTGGCCAGATGCCGCAAGAAATGGGCGGGGCATTTTTCATGAACAAGAATATGCCAGAAGGTGTCGTTCAGAATGGAATGAGACCGCCAAGTTCGAACCCGGCATTCAGCGGCCCTCAAATGGCCCAACCTATGGATGCCATGTCGCGACCGCAAGGGCCTGGCGCTGCTGGCAATCGAATGCCAAGCGGCAACTGGCAGGGCCAAGGACCCCAAGGGCAACCCATGATCCAACAGCAGCAAGTGGGTCAGCCGCCCCAGCCTGCGGGAACCCCACAAGAGCGCAACGCTATGCCACCTCCTCAAGCGCCCCCAGCCGGCGTCGCTGGTGCAGGCCGGGCACAACCTTCCTCTCCCCAATCTGGGGCGGCTCCTCCAACTCCACAGCAGTCCAATAAGCCAGCTCCCAAGGGGAAGAAGGAACCAAAGGAAAATCCAAGAAAGGTGAGGAATACATGATGTGATATTTTAAGGTTTTAATTGAAGCTAAGCTAATAAGCTATTTTTTTTTTTTTTCTTTTTACCAGCGGCCTCCAAAGAAACCGTCTACAGCCAACGCGTCGAATACCGCCGCGACTCCATCGTCGGAAGCCGAACCACCCCCAACTCCCACGCCACCTACTCCTATCACCCCTGTCCATCCGAACTCATTCAACAAGAACACGACGAACCCAACTACAAACGCTCCCCAACCCACCTCCGCACCCGCTGCGCAAAATCTTATTCAACAACAACAAGATCCTAACCAGACATTCGACATGAATCTTTCAGATGTAAGCCTTGAATCTCTTCCCTTATCCCCCTTCACCTTTGGACTTCCTTACCTTGCTAAATCTGGACAAATTCAATAGACCAACAATTACAACCTCGACTTCACCGCTTTGGACAATCCGGATATCCTAGAGAACTTCGACTTTGACTCGTTCCTAAACACAGATGATCCGAATGGATTCGGTTTCGACCCGAATATCCCATACCCGGCCGATGGTGTTGGAGCGGGTGCGGAGAATGGCTGTAAACTTCTCTTTCTTTCTTCTCTCTCTATTTCTTCTCTCTAGGCTGGGGTGCGGTTCTTTTTGATTGATGACTGATGACTAAATTTTTCTTTATTATTTTCCGCTTAATTTTCTTCTAATCCTTGGGTTATTCCTCTGGTTACCTTACTCTTTCCGTTCTGGCTTCTGCAATTTTTTTCTCCATTTTTTTTTACCCATCATTTAATCATTCTCCTTCTCTTATTGTTCATGTATGTGTGTGCTTGTGTTGTTGTGTATGTTCGTCTGTGTGACTTCTCTTCCTTATACTTCGTTACATTTCCTTTCTGTTTTTGTTATATCTTTAAAAGAGAACGAGTTGGAAACCTATACTACCTACAACAAGAACTACTGCAGCTGCAGCTACTACAAGTAAAACGAGGAGAGAAAAGAGGCAAGCAAAAACCCCCGGCGATTCTCGATCCTTCTTTTTTTTCTTTTTTTCTTTTTTCTTTTTTTCTTTTAACTTCTTTGATGGTTGAAATGTGGAAAAAGAATCTTGATTTCCCCCTCCCTGCATTAGTATTATCACCCCATGTTCTGCTTTTTTTAATGGCTTTGTTTTTGGATTCTTTTTTCTACGTGTGTTCTCAACAAATTCATACCCTGGATTTTTGCAATTCCTTTTCCTTTTCCTATCGTTTTAATTCCATTATTATCTTTTGTCTTTCCTGTTTGACTCGTTCCTTTTCATGTCTTAATTGTGTCATGCTATACTCTTTCCTTATTTTTCCTACTTTCTTTTTTTTTCCGTTTTCTTCCATAATTTAAATCATCTGTTTAATCATATCTCTCTCTCTCTCATACTTGGTTTTAAAATAATTTCTTCTCTTGTCTTGGATTCTTGCTCTTCTTCTATTACTTTGCTACTTACTCCTGAGGACCGCTTCTCTTATTTTGCCTCCATTCACATAACTATCTTCACTTTAACAAACTCCACTTTTCGTCTCCTACTTCTTTTTTTTTAATGAAACTTTTTTTCATCATTGTTACTGATATTATTACAAGCCATACCATAAGAACCTTGCTTTTGACATTCCCCCCTCATTCTGTCTCTACCTTTTAAAATTATGTTCTTATAACAAGTGCATTGCCTGTTTTACTATTATCATGATCATTACATTGTACATCTACTTTGAAAAATGTACGTGATCAAACTCAGACTCCATCTCAATCAAACTGTTTCCATTATTATTTTCTTGCTCTCTCTCTTTCTCTCTGTCTGTCTCTCTCATTTATACCTCTCTCCTCCTTTCCTCCTTCCGTTTACCAAGTCGCCCGCCCGCCACTTTCCACGCCGGCGTTATGTCATTTGTAAACCGCCGATCCCCTGAAATATCATCCATCTCAGTTTTACTCTGCTCGATCATTATTCTCATTCTTTTTGCTTCTGTATTGTTATTAGTACTATAAGAACTCACGCAAAGAGTGATTATCCAAAGAAAAAAAAAAAAAAAAAAAAAAAAAAAAAACTCGTAGGACAGAAACTAGTCGAAAAAGCCCTGAAGGGAAAGATAGAAGGGGTCAGTCATTCACTCATTCTCTCGTAAAAAAGCAAGTCCCTTCCAAGCGCTCCTAGCCCCCCTCCCCATCCTCACCTAACCTCGCCCGTCCACATAATCCCACCCTCCTCCTCATCCTCCTCCTTGATTTTCACAGACCCTTCCAACTCCAAGGGAATGAAATCACACCTAGCATCCGAACCAAACCGATCAACCGCAGCACCACCCTTTCCAAAATCCACATTAACCCCCAAATCTAACATACCTGCAGCAGCTGAAGCAGCCATTCCCTCCCACCTGCTAATATTTTCCCCAACCTTCTACCCCGGATCCTCCTGCTCCCAATCCTCATCCTCCCTAACCATCCTCATCAGATACCCAAGCACCTGCACAGCACACTTCTCCTTAGCCATCTGCGTCGATTCAACATACTTGGTCCACCCAATATTACCAACCCGCGCAAGGAATGGATCATTTGGGAACCGCGCCGCCGCGCTGAAAAGCAGAGCAGTCCCGTCCGCCTGTCCTTCCAACGGGGTTATGTGATATTCTGGCAGTTCCATGGATAAAAGAAAGCATATCTCTATTGCAAAAAAAGAAAATTGTGCGTGAGGGGGTGACAGCTACCGGAGAACACCCCGTCAGGGACGATCCGGCGGCAGACACATCGTAAAGCAAAAAGTCAGTAGACGGGCTAAAGGCTGTAATGGGGTTTGGAAGGGTTTACTTTCAACACGCTCGCACGGATTCGAATATTTCTTCGTCATCAACTCAAGGTCTCCAGGCCATATTTTGTGGCTTTTCGTCTCAGATGACGGGAGTACTACGGTTGGCAACCGCCGACTCGTCGTAGGAATCGGCAACAAGTTGGCGTTCTTTCCGTTATCCTTCTTCTTGCCCTTTCTAGCCATCTTACCCACTTGCTTTGTTGGCCCAGGTGGCAGCAGAACAGCCCTGGGCGCAGTAGGCACACCTGGGTCGCCAGATAACAGTCGGTTTCTGCCCACATGTCGTTTCCGCATAGCCTGGGTAATCTGTTTTGTCATGTTAGCTATGGAATCGGATGGAAACCTCCCGCTGCGAAAAATAGAATAGTGTGGTTCTTCCCTGTGATTGAAGTGATGGTTTCTGAACATGTGTAGTAATAGTTCCACCCTGAAGCTGTTCGCAAGTAAACCACCTGCAAGACCAACCCCTTGAAACAATGGCATAATCTCGGGGCCGGTGATTAAAAGACAATAAAGAGCTGCATGAGCAGAAGCATGTATAGCCTCAGTTGCAGTTTTATAGAACTTATTGGCCCCGAAGCAAGATACCCCTCCAACCTCTACTTCATACCAGAACCCTTCCTCGTGCGCATATTTCGTATAAATAGGACGGTCCAGTTTGTTCTGTTGGCAATATTCTATGTCAGGGACATAACGCAGTTAGTTTCCATGCTGCGTATCAGAGTGGAGGTAACATTTTCCAGAAGAAAGGGACCAAATATTATGACGATTATTATTATACCCTGAAGCAAAGCCGTCCAAATCCATACCCCAAGCGTCACCTTTGGGCCCGGAAGCTCAGGCAAAATCCAACCGGAATACTTCTCCTTCAAGCTCTCCAGAGCATCACGGCACGTCTCAGCCTTAGCAACAAATTTATCCTCAGAAGCCTCATCCTTCGAAGCCGCCGTCGCTGTGTCCCAGTACATGAGGAATGCTCTCCAATTTCCCCCAGCAATTCTCTCATAGCTGAAATGCGGGAGCAGGCTGGCCACGACGGATAGAACACCAAAAGTAAAAGACAGCCGCGTTGAGATCAATAAAGTCAACATCCAAGTCCCCAAATTTTAGGTTCTGAGGCTGGGGCTCCTCGACAGCTGCTGCCGCAGCGGCAGCCAGCACGTCATCAGCAAGGTCAGATTCCAGCCTTCCCCTGGATTCAGAGTCATTATGGCGGCCGCCATCAACGCTGCTGCTCCCGGACATCCCAGGAACGGCGTTGTGGTCTTGGGATGTCTGAGATTGGGGGCAAGTGCACCCCGATAGCATATGTGTTGGACGAGCTATTATCCCTGCACATCCTTCTATGTTTCCAAAGGAGCTGATCACGTCAGCCGGGGAATATGTCTGCATCGAGGCCAGCCCAGGAAACCCAGTACTGCTGGCCTTGGGAAATGTAGGACTAGGTGCAAAGCTAGCAAACCCAACCTCTGCCAGGGGCGAATGGGTTGTAGGTCCGACATTTTCCTGGCAAGCAACCCAGCCAACAATCCCCAAGGGCTGTGGTGGTAGGGGGGGAGGAGGTGCTGACCCTCGTGAGCTATCGCGGGGGATAACACACTCGAGTGCCGGGTTGTGCGGCATCGAGGTCGAGGTCGCGGTATGAGGTTTTGAGGTATTGTTCATTTGGCAGGATAGGACGCAAGGTTTAGCCGGGACAAGCCTTGGGATTTGAGAAGCTTATCCAGCAATGGAGCCTTTTCTTCTAGAGATTGATGTTGGTCCCTGACCACTGACACTGATGACGCATTGTTTAGGGATCTATGAATTTCATTAGTCGCATCTTGTTTAAGGGCATTTTCTGCACTATCATTGGTCTGGATATTTCGAAGATCGCCTAAGGGAGCGGCATATTGAGAGCCCATGTTAGAAGGTGGAATTGAGCCAGAGGCTAAGCTGTGAATCATGCAATATAACTGTTGGTATCAAAAGAAATGAAAGGGAAAAAGTATAAAGAGGCAATGGTTATTACTTAGAACATTGACAAGTTGAAGAGAGAAAGGCAGCAGGTCTGGTGACGGGATCTCCCTGGCATAATTCAGGTGAAGAGGCAATTGATATAGGACGCGACCAATTCGCCCGCAGCAGCAAAACAAACAATAAGGGACTAAAAAAAGCAGCAGCAACATCCGCACGCTAGACATCTCCCGGAGAAACAGCAATGCGATATCAAGCGAACGAGATGATCTGATATGGGCGGCAAGCACATTCCATATTTCTAAGGATTGGTTGCTGGGAGACGAATGGCCAAGGGGCTCGGCGGAAAAAAGCGTCCCTTATTCCCTCCAGGCGAATAAACAGGAAGACAGGAAGCCAGCACAGGGAAGAGGGGAAGGAGATACCAGGAGTCTCTTCTGTAGGAGACTCAATTACCTGGATTGCGGCACAATAACAAAAGGAACCGCCAAAAACATACGAGAAACCACGCCCGCATTACACCCCACCTGCTAAGTGTTAAAAGCCCTCAACGAGGGATAGAGCTCTGTAACTGCTGCTTTACATTTCCCCAACGGATAGCTGTTCCGATACGGCCCTAGCTAGACCATAAGACTAGAAGTGGGAAAGAGAGGGAAAACAAATAAACAGAATAAAGGGAAAACGAAACCACAAAAAATACTGGCAAACATGAATTCTGCTAACTTGGTCAATACCTAGAATGGTCTTTCCGTTTTGAGGTGTGCTGCTGATATCGAGTAGTGTAAGAGTGACGCTGTATCAGTAATCCTATACCCCTCCATCTGGTATAGTCTTATATTGCTAGCTAGACTTGTAAAAGTTCCAGGGGATTGTTAGCTAACAATTACAACCAACTAGAACCATTTACCCCGACGCCTCTGTTTCTCGTCTTGTGGCAGTGACTCTTGTTCTTGCCTCCAGAGCTTCTTCGAGTGTCGACCGGGGGCTCAAGTCTTTGGCCTCCAGGCGGGATATTTTTTTGGTAGGTGAAGGGCTGCCGGATTCGGTGTCTTCTGCAATTTCTACTTGTTCTGAAGTACCCAACCTTTTGCGTTTCGATTCAGCGGATGCAGTAATGTTACTCTGTGATCTTCTGACCGTTTTCGCGCTATTCGTGAGTACTCTATTAGAGCCATAGAGCGGCGTGTCTACCTCGCTCCCAGTACCCTCCTTCTTCCCTTTCACCTTTGGGTTTGGGCTGAGCAGATTTGACGGAAGCGGTGCATTTTCGCTCCCAAGACCTTCATCGCTATCTGATCGGGGACTCGATCCCGAAACAGCCCGTACTCCTGGCTGGGACAGTTCTTTTAAAGCTCCAGGGCGACTTGGATGTTTCGAATGGGACCGACGAGCTCGAGATTCTTTAGCCGCACACTGCTTGGACGCCATGGGATGAGCTGAAGATGGTGTGTTTGTCGGTGCATGAGTTCCACTGGTCAATTTCCCTGGACTCAGTGCCTCGATCAGCTGGTTATACTGTTCATCATCAATCGGTGCAATAGCACTAGGCTCTTTACTGTGCTGTCCGAAACTGATGCCTGTCATGTTAGATATTGCTCGGCTGCTATTGGAGCTTGATGCAGCATAGTCTGGCATTGACACGTCGTCCAAGGTTGAGCGGGAACGCCGACTGAGACCCGGCTCCCTGAAAGAATCAATGAAGGGGTCCTGGACTACAGGTTGCAAAGGCCATCTAGAGTCCCTCGCCGGTAATGCGGGCCGTGCCCAAGACGTCTGAGGAGTAGGATAAAGCCGCTGGGGCCAGGTTGTGTATTGCGAGGAGCGACTAGCGTCCGAGATACCAATTCCACGAGGCTCTGGGCGAGTTGGAGAGTGGGAGTGAGCATCTTCATTTTCCCTAATACCACCATAGTCGACCCCAAGATGGTATTTGAAACTGGGGCGTGAGGCCTGATGCCACATTCCCGGGTTTGGCCAGGCTAAATTCGAGCCTTCCAAAATATCTGTGGTGCCATGATAAGTTTATGTCCAAGTGTAGTGGCTGGGTACGGACACGGCTTACTCAACGGAGCATGTTGGAAAGAGAAGAAAACGAGATTCCTAACTCTTTCGAATGGGGGATTTCGATTGGGTCGAGAAAACCCTTCCGCAACAACAATTTTGATACGGCCAAACTCTTCCCCGGCTTCCCAGTGGCTCTGTTGAAGCATCTCTTCATGGAACGCCGGGAAGTGTAAACAATCCTGGTCGCCATTTTTGTCGACATCTGGTACATAAAGTGTTTAGCTATGAGCAAGCTTCGCAAACTGGCGTATATCATATTATTGATCGACTTACGAGAATTGGAATCTATATTTGCCATTAACAAGGCCATAATCAGAACAAAAAACATAATAACACATAACACAGGATATAACGTACCGATAACTTGAGGCCACCCAGTCCTCTGGTTGGTCAGACTCCCACTTAAGGGGGTTAAAGAAGTAAAATTAGTACAAGATGCCTGGTGGATTTTGAAATCATCAGATTTTACACACGCAATAAATATTCCATCAATAAACACCCGCATCTCAAACATGACAGAGTCATCCGGCTGCATGAGGCTCTCCATCATCCTCGTGGGAGCCGGCTTCTTCCAACTATGGATAGAAATCCTAAACGGACTGTTGCGAGACATGCTAGGGACAAAGGTCGTCAAGATAGGAGTGTAGCCAATGATGCCCTGGGCATAACTTGGCTGAAGAGGGTGGGAGGAAGCAGTGACCAAAGATTCGATATGCATGTAGGGAGATTCTACAGAAGGGGTTTACCCCCAGAGGAAAATTCGCTCAGTTTTCAGTCGTATAGACGCCATGCAGAGAAGAAAATATAAAAGAGACGGAGGACGGTAACTAACCACTGTCCCTAGTCACGAAGCATTGCGTCTTGAATTCTTGAATGGGCACCTTCGAACCGTCAGGGAAAAGGAGGACGTCCCAGTTCTCAAAACGCATGGTTAGAGGCTTTAATAGGCGGACCAACTGATCTTTCTTTTGCTGTTTCTGCGACTGGGGAGGAATGGACACAAAGTTGCTAGGAACTGATACAAACAAACAGACGCTGAGCAAAAGCGGAGCTCCCTCAAAAAGCCAGACTCCTATCCGTAGGCTATCAGATAGTGGTGAACGGTGGGATGGGGAGATAATGGGGAGGAATTGGAAGAAAAAAGAGAAGAGAAGAGAAGAAGCAAAACAGTAAACAGAGCAAATTCCTCCTTTCTTTATGTGGAAGTCCCCCATGTGTCGGCGCCGTGCAAGACGAGGAAGGCATCCTCGTCGCCCAGTGTCAACTCTGGCAGTTGCTTCCCCATACCGGGCTGCTCCTGTGTTCCATTTCCAGTATACTCCAACCCAGGGAGGGAGGCGGTATAGTCACTCCCGAATAAACAGGGAGACGGGGAAGACGGGGAAGACGGGAAAGGGAGGACATGCTGGACATAGTAGCAAGCTACTCCCATGTAGCATCCTTCCTTAGCCTCAGTCATAACCAAGCCATCACTCACTATAACTATCTCTAACGTAAAACCTCCATCCAGGTTAGCTATGCTCAAATCAGATCGATATTCACTGCAACACACGCGCTTAACCTGCGACTCTATAGCCAGGGATAACGTGACTCACCACCCAACGAACTCATCCACCCAACGAACTGCTATTTTTTCCATGAATCTCTGCAACTCTTCAACTTCAATCACCCACCATGCCACTCAATGAAGTGATTATAGAGCAAGCAATCACTCAATTGAATCAATAATTGATTTCTAAATATGCTGTGATTATAAAGGAATTCAGAATTAATTGTATTATCTTGATACAGTAGTTCAAAGATCAACAGATCTCTAGAATAGAGATAACATTAACTTACTATTAGAATCTCACAAATACTGAAGAATAATGTCTTCTATTTTATATTAATCTGTTATTTAATTACAGCTTCTCTATGATATCTTAAATACTATACAATTTTGTATTTAAGATTATTAAGATATAAGTAGAAATCAACTGAGTATCTCAGTTTTATAAGTAGTATAAAATAAAGATTAAGAGTATCTATTTTCATATTCTGAATTAAAAGAGAAAATAGATAGATAATAACTATTATTTTAAATAATTCTTTATTCTTATAATTACAGTTTTTTTACTTCTTTTTATATACAATTTTATGAGCTTTTTACTAACTTTTATTAAATAGTTACAGAAGAAGATTAAGCAGTATAATATTCTATCTCAGAATATCTATAATTTTAATGAAAAAGACTTTCTTCTTGATCTTCTTTATACTCTTAAGTGAATTATTTCTATAGAATTGTAATGTGACAGAACTGAAGCAGTGACTAGTTAATAATATCATGTAAAAGTAGTTGTTTAAAAAGCTGTATAGATGAGCTTGACTATCTTACTTAAATAGTAAGCTCATAGACTACAGAGTTATTGTAAGAATATCACAGATATGATACTTAATATACTAAGAAAATTATATAAGATACATAGTAACTCTTATATATATTTCAGTAGAAGAAAAATGAATCACTGACTTCTTTCATAAGAAGTCAGTATCTAGCTATTTTATATAGGTAATAAGCAGATACTCTTCTCTCATTTCATAAGTGAGAATAGCTGAAGTGATACCTCAGTAGTATCTTACTATTAAGAAAAAGTAATCTGCTAATCTTATATAGAAGTAAAATTCTTATATTTATTAATCAGATCTTTCTATAATATATCTGAATAATATTATAGAGTAATTAAAAATCAGTTCAGATAGAATGAAATCATCTATATAAAAGTAATAAGCTGTGTGAAACTGTAACAGAGTCTTGATATAATTGAGAGTATAATAATATTCTTCTCTTTAAGAGTATAGTCTCTATACTTTTAAGATTATCAGATTAGAAGTTATCTTTGTTATATAGCAATAGTTATTAACTGATTGACAGTGCATGTGCTGTGTATAATATAAAGAAATAGATAAGTTTTTCTGCTGACTATATAGATCTTTCTTTACTTATCTTCATTTAAATCAAATACATGATAAGTGAGTTTCTTATATAGTAATTTAAAATGTGAAAAATGTAGTTAATAAGTGACTTACAGATCTCTCATTATATTCTATTTTATATATGAAATTCTCTGCAAAAGTAATATATTTTAGAAACAAAGTTAACAGTAGTAACAGGATTTTTTGAAAAGATTTTCTCTCTTATAAAACATTTTTCTTTCTTCTCTCTCAATTGTAATAGTAAGTGTATAAGAGTATCATTCTTGAAGAATAATAAAGAATATATTCTGATATTTTCTAGTGAATAAATATCTTTATGATGCAGCTGCAGTCTCTGTGACTGTCAAGAAAGCTTAATTAAAGATGAAGATAACAGTATTGATAAACTGTGAAAGTATCACTTTCATTATTACATCTTCTTCTTCTTCTTCTTCTTCTACTTCTCTTACAGTTATAATAATAGTTACTGTATCTTGTAGTGAGATATTGTCTCTTCTGCTGATTAATTTATCTATATTCAGTTCTTTCTCTGTCTCTCTCACTGCTGTTATAATACTACTCTTCTTCTCAGTTAACACAGTGATGTATGACTCTGTGTGATCATTCAGAGAGAATCTCAGAGAGAGCTTGATTCTGAAGACAGTGACTCTGAGAAGCTTAATCTGTAGTTTCTCTTCTGTGACATATCTGAGCCCTGCTTGAAATACTGCTGAGTTAAGTTCACAGAGTTCTGTAATTTCTTTGTCTTCTCTCTGTGAGAAGACTTCAGTACAGTCTCTGACTAACACTGTCACTTGTCTATACTATACTAAGCAGCTGAAGAAGAGAGAAATTTTATACATCTGCTTCTTCTTTCACTCTTATTATTTCTATTATATCTGTAACAATAACTTCTATCTCTCTGTAAGTATTATCTCACAGAAAGATGTCATGTTGACTCTGATAAAAAGCTTAGATATTCAAGCAGTACAGAGTGAGAGTCTCAGAGCTTTAAGTGTTAATGAATTCTATTAAGACTGAGAAGATTCTTCTTACTCATCTGTAAAAGAAGATAAAAGTATGAATCTCTGAGATAAAAAAACATCTCAGAATAACTGACTCTAAGAAGAGATCAGCTGATGATACTATTAAAAGCACTGTGAAGATTAATTACTGATTAGAGAGAATCTTACTTCAATTAAATAACTGAGATACTTTATAAGTTAATAAGTTGATATTTTATACATTTCTTATGCTCTTCTGCAGTGCTACAGCACTAACTTCTCAGTAGATAAAGATACTGATACTGAAGACTTCAATCATGAAGAATGAGTTTGATAAGAATGTAATTATTGATAAGTAGACTCTGATTTCTCTTTTTACTTTTTCAGCAAACTGCAGCTCTATTAGAATAGCAGCAGCTTATAAGTTAATAATATTAATCTTTTTTATTAATTTCAAGTATCTCTTTTCTCTAACTGCTTCAGGAATTTTACACTTATATAGTCTCATTAAACTTCTAAAAAACTCTTTGAGAGAAAATAGAAGAAGAGTACTATAGAGCTTATAAGACACTGACTTATCACTGTGAGATTATCTCTAGAAAAACTCTTTAAGAAAAATAAGAAGTCTTAAACAGTATTTCTTACTCAATGTCTCTGATATATAATAGAGTAGTCTCTACTAATTATCTTATAACTTGCAATCTCTTTCTCAGTATTTTTCAAATACTTAAGTAATTCTTATAAATTCTCTGATAATAAATAATCTTCTTATTTATAAGATATTAAAGCTTACTGTAATATATTTACTTATTTAATATTTTCTTCATAAGATATTCAGTATCACTCTTAATTTTGATATTATTCAGCTGAGACAGCTCTACTCTGAGACATTGCTTATAAAGCTTTAAATAGAAAATATGAAAAATAGAATGAATTAATTTCAATTCTGTGAGTAATTTCAACTTATATATCTACTTACTTATCACTCTTATTACTGAGAAAGATTCTAGTCACTGCTTACTAAGCTTCTTATATAATCTTGTTATCTTAATATTCTTTGCTGAAAGTAGTACTTAATTCTCTATTAAAAACTTTATTGAAAGATATTTTCAATTATAGTATTTTATCTACTACTTCTAAGTATAATGAATACTTTTTATCATCTTCTTATAGATTTTATTCAAAAGTTTCAATCTTACTTTTACTTCTGATACTGAGAGATACTCTGTTCTCTGTATTTATTTAATATTCTGACTGTCTATTCTTCTCTTTAAAATATTGTTCATGATATCACTGAGTAATGAAGAATTATATTTATAATAAGTATAGAAAGAAGATATCTTTAAGATTGCATTCTTTGTATTATTATATATGAATTCAGTAATTAGAAGATGTTTAAATTAATTATTCTGATAATATGAATAGAATGCTTAAAGATACTGTTCTAGTATCTGATTCTAGTATTCAGTCTGATTATCTGTCTGCAGATAAAATGTGATACTGAGAAGATGTCTTATTATAAGATAATAGTAAAAAGCTGATCAGTATTTCCTGATGAAGAGAGATTCTTGATCTGTTATCAATGATTTCAGAGTACTGTGATTATGAATAATAATATTCAAAAACAGGTCAGTCAATTCAGAGACTTTAATCTTTTTATAAGTAGAGATATATCTGATTATCTTTGTAAAGCAGTCAATAATAATCAAAAGTGAGTTATATTCTTTGACTCTTGTTAACTTTAGCAGATTAACTATGAAATTCATTGATAAATTCTGTTATAAGCTCTTTGAAATAGACAGTGATATTAACTCACTGTATTACTTATACTACAGAATCTTTATTCTTTGATAGATATTGTAAGTCTTAATATACTCTTTAACATCTGCTCAGAGCTTGTCTTAAATATATTTATATTTTAGAAGTTTCTCAGTCTTCTCTAACCTGAAGTGTTCTGTATGAAAATTATTATA